CACAGGGGAGTAAAGCTTGTCCTTGACAGAAACAGGTCCCTGGTCCAGGTCACTGACTTGAAGCAGTGGCAGTGGGGGTGGGGCATCTTGGGCCCAGAGTGGGGGACACTTGGGGGCTGTTGGGAACACAGGGCCAGGAGCATTACCGATGTCATCATGTGCACCCAAAGCCATAGAGAACAAGCATAATGTGCATCCTACCACCTGCTTAGCCGGCCCCCTACACAAAGTTGGCCTCCCCTCTCCAGGAAGAAGACTTTAAAGTGCTGGATGACTTCAAGGGCAAACACTGCAAAAAGAGATGTCCCCAGCTTCGTATAACGCTTCCCCAGATGGCTGAGGCATATATGAGGATTATGTATATAATAATATATAAATGTGTTCTTTTTAAAACCCTAAATGATAACACACTATAAGCAAATAATATGACAGGGGAAAAAAAAATATATATATGCATGCCAAGTCACTTCTTATTTTCCTTCTTGAAGGCTACCCCTGCTGCTGCCAGCTTCTTCTTCTTCTTTTTTTTTTGGTACCGGGGATTGAACTCAGGACCTTGCGCTTGTAAGGCAGGAGCAATGCCACTGAGCTAAATCCCTGGCCCTGCCAGCTTCTACTGTAGGATCATGCATATATACCCAAATGGCTAGATGCAGTGGCACACACCTAAAATTCCAGTACTCAGGAGGCTGAGGCAGGAGGAGTGTGAGTTTAAGGCCAGGCTGGGTTACATAGTGAGACCCTGTTTCAGGCAGTAACAACAACCACAAAAGACAAATGATGGCATGCCACAAACATACCATAATTTTCCCTACTTTCCTTTTCCTACTTTCTGTTTCTTTACTTAATGCTGTCATTTCATAGACCTGTTTGGACCAACACCTATAGCTCTAGTGCAGTTTTTTTTTTTGGTACCGGGATCAAACTCGGGTCCTTGTGCTTGCAGGGCAGGCGGCGGAACCACTGAGCTAAATCCCCCGCCCTCTACTGCATTTTTTAAATTGATGGCATATTAGTCTATCGTGAAGTTATACCTGACCTTGTTTAACAAGCCTCCTAGCAATGGATATTCATTCAGGTACTTTCTGGTCTTTTGAAATTCTACACATATTCCTTTATATGATTTTGTGGGTGTGCGTGCTGGAGGATGGAACCCAGGGCCTTGTGCATACTAAGTACACATTCTATACTGAGCCACACTTCCAGGCCTTTACATACAGTTTTCATTTATATGTGGTATACGTTTGCTGGATCTTAACATGCAACACCATTAAGTCATACCTATGTGAAATCCATCCCTTAAACCCCATCCATCCAAAGATATGAATCCATAAGGGTAGAATTCTGACCATCAGCCAGGGCATTATGTCTCCAAGTGGAGGCTGCCTGACCACTTGGAGAGTGGACTTCCTCCCTTTCTCCAGCTCTCAAGTCCAAGTGCAAGTGAACAGTGACATCTGGGGTCCCCAGGCTCCTGGACCCCCCCCCCCCACCAGGGGAGGGCCCAGTGGCTCTCTCTGTGGGCAGAAGTTCCCCCTTGAATCTGTTTTCCCACTGCATTTCATTGGCGGCCAAAAGAGACTTTCATAACTCTTGCTATCTTTACAATATGTCGTTCGAATTTAAAACATGCTAAAAGGGAGAAAATATTTATAGAATTTTTCTCTGGAAGGAAAAAAACCCTACTTTTAAGCCTAGCCAATGACATTTCTGGAAACCACAGAGGGAAAACAGCAACAACTCGCAGAAGATAAAATGGACTAATTACACAACAGATCTCTAATTTAAGAAACTAGCTGAGTTCTTCTGTTGTGTGTGTGTGTGTGTGTGTGTGTGTATGACAGAGAGAGACAGAGACAGAGAGAGAAAGAGAGAGAGAGAGTTTAAAAATGTCAGAGAATAAAAATACTGATTTGTCAGCTTATTAAAAAAAGAACCCAGCAGCTCCTAACCCTTCTGCAAGACGAGTGTCCTTGGCACGGGTCTCAGGGAGAGTAGAGGGTCCCTGTGGTGGCATTCCTTGGCCTGTGAAACAGTTTCCCATGGGAAGGAGCAGGGATCCTGCTGCCGGAGTTATTTAAATCCCAGTCTTCCCTGTTCCAAAGCCATGCGAGTGTCTCCATGGCCGCTGCTGCTGTGGACACCCAGCCTAGTAACCTGGCTTCCGGGTGGCGTCACCTCGTGCTTTGCGTTCTCCTCAGCCTCCTAACCCTTTGAACTGCCACTGGAAGTCCACCTGACTTCCTTGAACAAGTGTTGGGAGTTTCTAGAACAATCCCTAGACTGCAAGGACGAGGGACCCCTTCTCCCCTCCCAGTCTCTGTGAGTCCGAGTCAGTGTACTTCCAAATGGGCCACAAAGGGAATCTTTTCCTGGCTAGAATTTCCAGAAGCCAAAAAGTGATGGGAGCCAAAACCTCCTCGTGAACTTCGTTTGTGTTTGGATTTTTATGGAAACGATTTCTCCCAGACACACATCCTGTGGGACCTTGCTCCTTCCCCTTCCCTTATTTTTATGTATGAATGTATTATTTCGGCTGTTTAATGGGTTTGCAGCCAACAAAGGCCACCAAGCTGTTTTAATGAAGCCTTGCACTGGCCCGCACTGGCTTTCTGAGGCCTTGAGAGACCCGGGAGAGGGATTTGCTCTCTGCTCTCTGCTTGGGAACCTCGGCTGCCCCTGTGCCGCTCTGATTTGCTGGGGGATTTGGGGGAAGTTCTTTAATCTCCAAGGCCAGCGGTGTAGATGGGGCTAACAGCGGCACTGAGCTAATGCAGAACCGAGGTGAGGACTCTGCAGAAAGCAAAGAGTAATGGTTTGAAATGAATGAGGGCCCCTGAATGGGGCTGTGCTTGGTGGGAGCGGGTGGTCCTCCCAAGGCCCAGGGTCTAGGTTTAAATTCTGAACATTAGATTCAGCTGGGCTGACTGGGCCTCAGTTTACCTGGTTTGCCTTCTCTTACTCAGCAGGCTTCACTATATTATGTGTGAACTTACCATCCATCTGCAAAGCACCCAGGGGCAGGAAGTAGAAGGGGTGAAGGGGGCAGCCAGGGCTCTAGACCTTCCCCTTCCAGCTGCCTTTGGGGGACCAAAGTTTCCATCTGGAATCAGGCCTCAGCCCCCTGCTGAGAACTAATGCACTGGGCTCTAGGAGCCATTGTTTTCTGGGGCGGCATTGAGAATCTGGACACCCCCCTGCCTCCCTGCTTGGCCTCCTGCCTGGCCTGGGGATGCCTTGTCACCAGCATTCCCGAGGGGTCTGCTGTCAGCGGCTGTGGGAAGGGCTGACGGATGAGACCCCTATCCCTTCTGCCCCCGTGGAGTCCTTTTATGAAGTCTCTCCCAGGGCTCCACAGTGGCTCTGCAGGGAAGGCCACAAATTTCTGACTCAGTAGAATCCCCGGGGTGGAGGTAGGGGTGGGGGAGAAGACCCTGATACAGTCGGAGCACCCCCTCCCACCCCGAGCCTTTTCAAGCCTGCTCTCCACAGAACGCCTGCACATTGGACTCTGTTATTCCCTCCTTGAAATCCCCTGTGAGGTTTCCAGTGCCTAGAGATGAAGGCCAAATTTCTTGTGTGGTTTGTCACCCCCTCTCTCTGCCACCTCTCCAGGCTCAATTCTCCTCAGCCTCTGTCTCAAAATCAGGCTCAGCATGGCCAATCGACCTGGGTGCCCAGCAGGCCCCAAGGTGCTGCCCCTCACGCACGCCTCGGCTTTCTCTCTTCCTGGAATAATGTTCTCTTCTGTCGGGCCCCTCCTGACTTGCTCCTACCTTACTGGCAGGAGACAACTCTGGTGTCTCCTCCCGATGTCTATAAGTTGTTAGTCACCAATTGGTTCACTGTGGCTGTGTTTTAGTCGATCCGAGACATGTATAACTGGCACTTACAGCCTGCATCAGCCTGGAATAGTCTGTCCAAGTTCTCGGGCCTCGCTCCAAGCCAGCCAACGGTGACATTGAAAGGGGTTTTCTTTATGCGCGTGTGTGTGTGCGCGCACACATGTGGTGGTGGTGGGGCATCCCTCCTTGCCCTGTTCTTTGTCTGGCTCAGTCTGTGCTCGATTGTCTACTCATCCTCGGTAAGGGTAAGAAGTCCCATGGCCACCTACTTGAGTGTGGCTCGCAGCAGGCCTCCTTTGTGTCCTCCGTCCCTTCTGTTCATTCAGCCCCTTCCTTTTCTTGCCCCATCCAAATGCCTCTGTGTGCTGATGATCCCCAGTGGGATCCCCAGCTCCATCCTGAGCTTCTCCTCTTCAGAAGCTCTTGTCTCACTGGCTCCTTAGCCTCTCCCCTTCCATGTCTAACAGACATGAGAAACTCTGTTCCCAAACCCACAGCCCACACCTCCTCCCGCTGCCGCCCCCTCCAGCCCCAGCTCCCACCGTATGGCCCCAAGGCCCAGAGTCATCCTTGACTCTTCTCTGGCACGATCATGTGTGATCTGCCAACAGGATCCATCCAGGACCTCAGCCCCTCCCACGACCCTGCCTTTGCTCCCACCTGGCTCAGCCTCCACTGCTCACTTGAACCTGGATTGCTGCAGCCCCCACCCCACTGCCCTCCTGCTTCCCCTCTGCTGCTTCTTCATTCCAGTCTTGGCAAAGCTGCCAAGCCAGCCTTTTAAAACCTGTCACATCAGGTTGCTCTGATGGCTTTCCGTCTTTCTCAGGGTAGCTTCGAGTCTTCCCTGTGGCCTACGGAATGGCCCCTGTCACCTTTCTGACTTCATTGCCCATCACTTCTAACTCCTTTAACCTGCTCTAGTTAAGTAGCCTCGTCATCCCTCTACTTCTCAGACATATCTGCTCTCAGGCCCTTTGCACTTCCTTCCCTCTGCTTGGGAAGCATCCCTTTCAGTCATGCTCAGGGCTGCCTCCCAGCCTCTCCTCATGTGCTGATGGGTGACACCTTCTCTCACCTTCTATTGAGAACTAACTCCCTCTCTGCAGCCCTCTTTCCAGCCTTATGTGCTTAATTTTCCTCCTTAGTATTTGCCACCTTAGATTATACATCTCTCTTATTGATCTTATTTATTGTCTATTCCATCTCTTGGAATGTAAGTCACTGTTGGAGAAAATATTTAGTTTGTCTTTTTTTTGCATTGTGTCTTGGTGCCTAGAATAGCGCCTGGCACAAAGTAGGCACTTATTAAATATTTGTTAGATGAAGGCGGGGGATTTAGCTCAGTGGCGCCGTGCCTGCCTGGCAAGCTCAAGGTCCTGAGTTCAATCCCTGGTACATAAAAAAAAAAGAAAAATATTTGTTAGATGAGTGACTGGATGGAGAGATGGATGGGTGGATGAATGGATGGGTAGATGGGTAAATGGAGTAGCAGTGAGACAGATGTTCCATTGGCCTCTGACTTCCAAGCAACATCTGCATCCCAAAAGTGTTGGTTGGGGCCGGGGATTTAGCTCAGTGGTTTTGCTGCCTGCTGCGCAAGCGCAAGGACCTGAGTTTGATCCCCGGTACAAAAAAAAAAAAGTGTTGGTTGGCCCCTTGTTCATCCTACCTGGGTCTGAGAGTGAACAGACTCCAAAAGCTCAGAGTTCATTGGTCCTGGAATTCAATTGTTTCCTCCCTCAGTTGTCTTAAAATGCTCCTGATGTGGACCACAGAGTGACCACTCCCCTCTTCCTTTTCCTCAGGGTACAGATGGGTGCTTGCGGCCTTCTCCTTTCTCAGCTGTTGCTTGTAACCAGCAGCAGTTCTGTGTGAGGTATTGCTTGGGCTGTTGCACTTGGAACATTCTAGAAACCTCATGGCCCAATGAGAGATACCAAAGCTCTAACTGCAGCGATGGTTCCGGCAACCCTTGGCACCCTGTAGAGTTGAAAACAAGAAGTGTCACTTTCCAGCCAGCCCTTGCAAGCAGCTCAGGGGACACTCTACCTCAACCAGGTGAGCATTCCAATGTGAAGATGAAGTGCTTAATTTCTCAGATGTTCTGGTCCTAGGTGACTCTCACTGAGCAAGGAGGAGCATTTTGCACATCCATAAAATGGGGCCATTCATGTTGACCTCACAAGGTCCTTGTGAGGAATAAATGAGCAACATAAATTAGGAAATCTATAAAAGTGTCTTGTTTATTGCTGTTGGTGGCACAGACTTCTAGGGACAGCCTGGAAGATGGAGAGCTTTGCAGGGACCTAGAGGAATTTGGCGCCTATCTGATAAGATCCTGCCCCTCGAAGAAGTCCCATTTGGGGCTGAGGGTTGGCTTGTGTACTTTCTGCAGCTGGAGGCTGCTTCTCCTTCCCAGTGGGCTCCTAGGCCTGTGGGCTGGCCGCTTCCGGTGTGGAAACCACATGTGTCAGGAAGGGAATGAGCACCGACCTTTCTGAGAGTTTCTGTGTTGTTTATTTGCATGAGAGCTGAGAGTTTGCTAACCAGCAAAGGGACTGGACCATCAAGTCGGAGGCTACCCCTGCTCAATGAGGAAAATCATCACATGAGGAAGCAGCCAGCTGGAGTGGGGCCAGCACTGGCCTGGGAGTCCTGGGCTTACGGTCTAGTTCTCCTCTACTTTGTCAATTTCAGGCATGATCAGCAAGCTTGATAGACCTGGTGGGCTGTCTGTAAAGCAAGGAGCTCGGTGCATACCAGGCAGTTCTGAGATCGTGTGGCTCTTATTGTGTTTGTGTAGTACTGGAGATTGAACCCAGGGTCTTTGCCCTGAGCTACACCCCCAGCCTTTTTTAGTTTTTTGAGACAGTTTCTCGCTAAGTCGCTAAGTTTCTCAGGCCAGGCTTGAACTTGTGATCCTCCTGGCTCAGCCTCCCAGAGCGCTGGGATTACAGGCAGGAGCCCCTTGGAATGCATTAGTGGTTCAGCTTCCTCATCCCTCGCTGGGACAGCTCTGTAGTGTGTCCTTCACTGCGCCCCCCTCCCCGTGTCCTATTACCGCAATGAAACTCTGCTCACCTCACACCCACAGCCCTCATCACACTGCTATGGGACGGGAAGATGAGGTACCTCAGAAATTCATATTTGAAGTCCTAACCCCCAGAGCCTCAGAATGTCACTGTATTCAGAGACAGGGCCCTTTAAAGAGGTGATTATGTTCAAATGAGGTTGCTATGGTGGCCCTAATCTAATCCAACTGGGATCCTTACAGGAAAAGGAGACTTGAACCCCAAAAGAAACGACAAGAGTGTGTGCATGGAGGGACAATCCTGTGAGGACACAGTGAGAAGGTGGCCTCGTGCAAGCCAAGGAAAGAGGCCTGAGAGGAATACAACCCTCCTGATACCTTGATCTTGCACTTCCAACCTTCAGAACTGTGATAAAAGAGATTTCTGTTGCTGAAGCTCCCAGCCTCAGTTATTTTATTAAGGCAGCCTAAGCAGACTAATTCTTCCCGAATAAGCCACCCAGTCCCAAATCTTTGGCTCAGTCTTTTTTGGGGGTGGAGGGAGAGGGAGGAGTGTGGGGAGGAGAAAATGAAGACATTAAAGCCCAGGGACAAAAGGTCAATGCCACCCTAAAGTCCGTATGGTCTTATTTTGGATGCTAAAGACCTACTCTTCATGGCTGAGTCTAAGAGCAGTGTGGAGAGAAACCAGCTCATCCTCACTTCGCAGAAAAGGAAAAATTCTGAGATGTGGAATAAGCCAAAAAGCATCACTACCTTCGGCCTCTCATGTTCTGATTTGGGGCTGGTTCCTGGAGAAGAGCTGGAATCAGGCGGAGAAATATCCACCAGGAGTAGGAGTGGATAATGTGCATTATGCAGCACTGGAATACAAATGGTTTTATTCATGTGAAATTGCTTCAGAATGAAGGGCTGCTCGAAAAGTGACCCCCAAATGGAGCATTTTGTTTTGCAAAATAAAATTGCATCCCTTCGGCTCTGAGAAAAATGCATATTGCCCTCATCTGAAATGTGGTGATAATTATATGCCACATTATTCATCTTGTGTCATTTCTGGTCACATTCAGCATTTGGCACAAAAGCAATTTAGGGTGTGCTGAAAACAAAGGCCGTCATGCAAAAGGCACCGGGAATACGTTCTAGGCCACCAAGTGACTGGGACGTTGCAGGAAATCCCAAGTTCACTTTTTCCCCTGTGGATGCAAGGGCAATCTCGAATGTTCTCTGTGTTCAAGGGCCAACTTGAGCGTGCTTTTCAGGGAAAAGGGAAGAGAAAAGCACGGGAAAAGGAAACCAAGTTATATATAGTGCAAAAATATCAAAGGGGGAAGCGGGTGGGGGGAGGGGCAGGAATGTCAAAGTCTGTCACATGTTCTGGCCTGAGGAGACTTCGGGGCAAGAAGAGTACTCGTTATTAGGGCCATAGTGTTAGAGTACCAGTTATGAGCTTTATAGTTGTCTCTTGTGGTATAACAAGTGATCCCCAAAGTTAGCAGCTTAAAATAATGATCTTGCAGTTTCTGAGGGTCAGGAATCCAGAGTGGTTTAGTTGAGGGGCTTCAGCTCAGGGTCTCTCACGAGGTTGTAGTCACAATGTCACAGTCATGTGAGGGCTGGACCGGGGCTGGAGGATCTGCTTCCAAGATGGCTTACTCCGTGGCTGTGGCAGAAGGCTGCAAAGACCCACTTTCAAGCTAGTTCATGTCATTGTCAGGTCTTGATTCCTCACCACTGGGGTCTCTCAATTAGCCACCGGTGTCCTCATGACAGGTCCTCTGGAGACCCAAGAGAAGGAGTGTGCATGAGCCAGAGAAGCCAAAGGAAGAAGCCATGGTCCTTTCGCGAGCAAACTTCCGAAGGGCCATTCTATCACTTCCGCTTGACTTCATTACTTAAAGCGAGTTCCTGAGTCCAGCTCAGGCTTACAGGGAAGAGACCCCACGAAGGCATAGGTACCAGGCCACAGGGCTCACCAGGACTCAGAGGCTGCTGGCCACAAACCTTGATCAACCTCACTCACCTACGAAGGTCTGGGGCTCGACCAGGTCCCCATAACTACAGGGAATATGGACAAAAAAAACTCCATGTAAGAACTTGAAAGATCTTGGCCTTTGCCCCGACTCTGCCACTATGTGCTTGTGTCTCAAAGACCAGTTTTCCCATCTGTTATAGGACAATAATGTTGACCATATAAAGGTAGGGCTGGTTCAAGGGGCTAAGCTGGTAAATGCTACAAGGTGGAAGGAATTGCAGTCGGTAGTCTCGAGAACATTCTCTGGTGTCCCCACTATATATTCAGGACAAATTTAGGACAAAGGGGCCAGGGTCCTTCTGTTTTTGTAGGTGACAGTTTCTACTGTGGTGGGCTCTCCTGGCCCTTCAGCCTCTAGGGGCTTAAGGACAAGAGCAGTGAAAGCCTGAGCAATCATTAACTAACTGATCACTGCCTGGTGACACTCTGATGACCTCAGCCCATGGGGACAGCAGATGGTGACTGGCAAAGCACAACTCTTAGAAGCCAGCACCTTGTCTTTTTCACCTCCTCCATCTCTGTGGGTCTTCCTGACTCCTCCTACCTCTTAAATGGCCAGAATGTGCAAGAAAATCCTTTACTAGTTTGGTGTTTTCCCAATGATATTCTCATTTCCGGTCCTGTGTATTTTATATTTCCTCTGCTGAGAAATCAAGAAATAAAGCTTCCTTTTTGAGTGAGGTCCTGTGGGCCAGCAGTCTTGAGGAGAGGAAAGGAGGGGAAGGCAGGGGAGGGGAGGAGAGGGGAGGGCGTCAGGCAGCCCTTTGTGGGGCAGGAACCACAGACCCCCAGCCTGGCTCCTCACTGTGCTGTCAGATTGCACCAGGCAGCTGTGAACCCTCGCAGGAAGGGCCCGTGGCCTCTGGTGCAGATCCCGGTCACCTCCCTGGAGCTCCCATCATGCTCCGGGGCAACGCTGAGCAAAGCTGAAGCTGACTTGGGAGGCAGGATAATCTCAATTCGTCCCCAGCTCTGTCATTTATTAGCTCTGGGGCCAGATGGCAGCTCCCCCTGGACAGGGCTCTGCCTGCCCTATTCTCTGCTGTGTCTTCAGCTTCTGGCACAAGCCCTGCCTGTGATTCTTTTTAATTTAATTTTTAATTAAAACATAATTTCCATACATTGAAATGTGCAGGAGGTGTGCAGTTTGATGAGTTTTGGCAAGTGTGTGCATCCTTGTAATTAGCCCCACAGTCATGATCTAGAACATTTGTATCCTCCCCAAAAGTCCCCTTGTCCCCTTCCCAGAGAGTCTTCTCTGGTCACTGCAGGCAGCTCCTGCTCTGATTTTTTTGTCACAATGGGTTAGTTCCGTCTCTTCTCGAATTTTCTATAGCTGGTTTGTACAGCATGTGCTCTCTTGTGCTTAGCTTCTTTCTTTTGACATAGCTGTGAGATTCATTCGTGCTGTTTTGAGCCCAGGCAGCTCATTCCTTGATGCTGCTGAATACTATTCCATTGTAAGGCTGGACCACGATTTGCTCTCCATTCCCAGTGGATCGACTTTTGAGTGAACTCCAGCTTGCCGCTGTTATGAATACAGTTCCTATGAACATTCTGTGCTAATATTTTTATGGACATATGCTCTTATTTCTCCTGGATGAATATCCCAGGAGTGGGATTCTTGGGCTGAAAATTAGTTGCATGTTCAACTTTGAGAAAACTGTGAGATTGTTGTCCAAAGTGGCTGTTTTCTAATCCTGCTTGGCATTTGAGTCTTGAGCCAAAGGACAGGGACACCAGAATGCCAAGTGCTTATTGTTTGTCCCTGGGTCTGCCCTGGCCCCTGCCAAGCTCAAGCTTTCTTCTGCAGACTTCTGATCTATTCTGCCAATCTCCAATCATCTTCTAGTCAATTCCTTTTTGCCCAAATTACTTACAACTGGTTTCTGTGATTTGCAATCAAAGAACTCTAGGTAAGTGATCCTGTGCCTGGCGCCTGGTAGGTCCTCCATGAACCTGCAGGGGCTGTAGTTTTAGTTGAACAGAGTCTGAAGAGTGGTGAGGGACAAGGATTCCTGGTGTGGAGGAAGGAGACAGGGTGCAGCTAATCTGAGGGCACAGAAATTACAGGGGCAGGCATGACTTTGAATCTGGGCTCTGCCTCTTACCAGCTGTGCAACCTTGACTCTATCAGCTCTCTTCTCAGAGCCTCAGTTTGACCTTATGCAAGGAAGCTGCAAAAGGGAGGCATAATCCAGGAAGGGGGAGAGTTCTAAGATACCCAGGTATGCAAATATCATTCTGCCACTGCAGTCTGAGGCAAAGGCCCTTCTCATTTGGTACTTGGTCCTTTTTAGTTTCAACTGAGGTCCTTCAAGAGGTGCCTGCTCCTTGGGGAGGAAGAGGGTTTCTGAGGCCTGCAGGACCCCTGCTAGGCCATCTTCTTGTCTCATGGCTGGGGGGAGGGTGCAGGAGGGCTCTACCCAGCCTGACTTCCATTGCAACCAGATGCCTTATCCCTGCCTGCCAGGGCATGCAGAAGCACCTGCTGCTTTTCATCTGGGGATGAGGAAAAGCTACTGCAACTTGGAGACTTCTTTATTTTTTACTTCTTTTTTTTGCAATGCTAGGGATGGAAGCCCGAACCTGGTGCATGTGAGGCAAGCACTCTACCACCGAGCCGCACCCCAGGGCTGAACAGGCCCATGCAGGAAGGAACTGGGGCCTCCTGCCAACAGCCACATGAGTGAGCTGTGCAGTGGATCCTGAGCCTCAGTCAAGCCTCTGAGACCACAGCCCCCAACAGCAGCTTGACTGCAGCCACGTGACAAGCCCAGAGCCAGAGCTACCCAGCTCAGCTGCTCCCACATCCCTGACCCTCAGAAACTGTGAAAGGGGAAATGTGTGCTGTCTTAAGCATTAAGTTTCGGAACAGTTCCTTACCTAGAAATAGAGAATGCATTCAGGCTTCCTATTGAGGCCACAGCTAAAGCCAGTTCCACTGATGCATGCACGAGGTAGTAAAGTGAACGGGGCTAAGCATCTCTTGCCCTAGGGCCTAGCCCCAAATCCCCAGAAACACGCTCCTTGGTGTTGGACAAACCATGTCACCAATCCGGACTGTGGTAATTTGCAAAGTGACACCTTTGCTGTAGCTGACACCATACCTTTTCCAGCTCAAAGAGCCTCAAACTTGAGAGTGAGAAAGCAGGAGAGGGGTGGGGTACACAGGGGCCAGAGCGCCTAGGTCTGGTAGATGTGAGATGATTTCAAAGGAGCCCCACGGGGCCTTTTCCCCGTCTGGGTGGGTGAGGCTCTGCCTAATAAAATAGAAGACTTTTCCAGTGGGTAGTCTGTAAACTCGGAGAAAAAGGGGCAGGGAGCAGAGGGGGACCAGAGGCTGTGAACATGGCCGTGAACTGAGGTCAGTGAGAAATTCCCTGATGCCAGGAACTGGTGATGAATTTTTAGAACACTAATGGGTCATGTGAGTCTTTAGTTGTATTGTGCTGAAGTCTATTTCTGTGACTCTAAACTCATGTGTGAGTGCACGTGTGCACACACACACTAGTGCGGAGTACAATCTGAGGGCACAAAAAGTGCAGACAAGCCTGGCTGTGAGTCTGGGCTCTGCCTCTTACCAGCTGTGTGACCTTGAATTGATCATCTCACCTCTCTGAGCCCTGTTTGACCTTATGCAGCGAAGCGGAGATAAAGTGTCCTCCGTTGAGGCCTTCAGCCGGCCAAGTTCCCAGTCAGAGCTGGGGACCCCAGGCCTCTGCTTGTCAGCGTCACAGCTGCCGTCCTCCACTCTGTTCCTCGTGCGGCTGGAAATCGGGGGCACAAACTTCATCTCCTGCCCCCACCCCACCAGCCATGAGAAGAGATGGCAACCCTGGGCAGCGCTGTCCCTGAAGTCTCCTCCTCTTCCCCTTTCTTGGGAGCCCAGGCTGCTGTGCGCAGGTGGATAGAGAGGCTTCTGGTGAAAGCACCTAGGCTGATGACTTGGGGACTGCAGTTTGTTCCTAAGAGGCAGAGTTCCCAGGAGGGCTGCCACCTTCTTCTTGGTGTCTCTGCTTTGTTTCCTTAGATGCAGAAAACCTGAAGCGGGTGACCCTGCCCTAGTGGGTGGCAGTGGGCACACTGGGTGGGGACTGACTGGGGCAGGGGTAGGGGACATGGGCAGGGTAAGCCAAGCTGCAGGCTGGAAGTCCAAGATCAAGGTGCCAGCAGAGTTGGCCGCTTCTGAGACCTCTCTCCTTGTGGTCACCTCTTAGCTGTGTCCTCACATGGTCTTTCCTCGGCATGCACATATCTGATGTCTCTCTGGATGTCCAAATCTCTTTTTTTCCCCTTATGTCCTGGGGATAGGACCCAGGGCCTTTGCACTGAGCTGCATCCCCAGCCTTTCTTATCTTGAGACAGGGTTTCCCTAAGTCACTAAGTTGCTCAGGGTGGGCTCGAACTTTTCATCTTCCTGCCTCAGCTTCCCAGAATTCTGGGACTATAGGCGTGTAGAACCAAGCCTGGCTCCAAATTTCCTCTTCTGATAAGAACACGGGTCAAATTAGATTAGGATCCCCCCTTACAGCCTCATTTTAACTTAATCGCCCCCTTTAAAGACGTCAGTTCTAATTATAGTCACATTCGGAGGTGCTGAGGGTGAGGACTTCACATATGGAATTTTTTCACATATGGATTTTGTCGGACACAACTGGGCCTGTAACAAACTTGGTGTGGAGTGAGTGATGGGATTGCCCCTAGGCACAGAACTGTCTGGGGGCAGACAGACCTGGATCTGAGGGTGCTTGGCTCTGGCAGATTAAAGAGGATCCCAGATCTTGGATGTACCCCCTACTGAGAGTTGGGGTCTGTGACCCCTTCCCTTAGTTGGGGCTGTGACCCTGTGTGTGTCAGCTTAGCCTTTTCAAAGCCCAGCACCTCCTGCTTTGGTTTCTTGGAACCACAAATCATCATGTCAGAAGTTGGATCATGCTGTCCTAGAGAGCCCGAGGAGACGTCACAATGCCACATGGAAAGGGACAGAGGCCAGGCTGGGTCTGCCTTCCAGCCTGGCCCTGCCAAAGGCAGGAGAGGAGCCATCTTGGCCCCTCCAGACCAGCACAGTTACTGGACCCCAGTCACGTGGACCCTTGGACCCTGCCCCAAATCCTGACCCCAGCCTCAAGAAAGAAAACCAAATGGTGGTTGTTTCAAGCCGCTAGATTTCGAGGTCATTTTTTTTTTTTTGTGGTACTATGGATCAAACTCAGGACCTCGTGCTTTCGAGGTTGGCATAGCGCCACTGAGCTAAATCCCCAGACCCTTAGAGGCCATTTGAATTAATTGGATTATTTGGTGACTACAGAAATGGTGTGTCGGGAGTGGGATGATGTTGTGGGATATGCTTCCAGGGTGGGGGGAAAGATGGGAGAGTTGCTCTCCCCTCCCCAGGGAGATCGTGGCCGAGCAAGATGGGTTCTGCTCCCTTCCTGGCCAGGGCTAAGAGAGCAGGCGCCCTCTTGCCTGCCAAGCTCTGCACTTTGGGATCTAGATCCGCCTCCCCCCAGGCAGGCCTTGTTGCCTTTCCTGGGGTCCCTGAGGTACGGATCAGAGTGTGGCCCAAAAAGGAACAGCCATTTCTAAGACCTCCAATGAGCTGCTGGATCCCTTGTGGGGAAATTCCTGTTCATCTGCCCTGCTCATCTGCCAGGTGGTCCTGTGCCCTGGGTCACATCCATGTGAGCCTGTGTTTGGTGAGGCCTGTCAGCCCCTCCCAGCCAACACTCTGTCCCTGACCACAGCCCTAGCTTCTAGCTGCTCCAGCTACCCCTGGGTGGCACAAAACCGAGCTGGATCCCACCATGTCCTGCTAAAATTGCAGACTGGTGAGCAAAATAAATAGCGTTGTTTTAAACCATTAAACATGGTAGAGCCAGGTGTGGTGTGGCATGCCTGCAATCTCAGCACTCTGGAGGCTGAGGCAGGAAGACTGGCGTGAGTTCGAGGCCAGTCTGGGCTACATAGTGAATTCAAGGCCAGCCTGGGCTACATAGTGAGACTCTGTCTCAAAACCAAACCAAACGGAACCCATTAAGTCTTAGTCAGCGATAGGTAACTGGAATTGGAGAACAGACAGGTAAAAGAAATGGGCTACTCTTCTTCAATTAAAGCTTATACATGCCACAAAATGGGACTAAGGAAAAGAAGGTAAACTAATCTGTGCGCGTGCACATGTTTCTGTGCACACATGTGCATGAGCTGAGAAGGGGCTTTGCCAAAGTGTCTTGATAAGGCTGGAAGTAGGTATTTCCATCAGGTAGAATGGGTTGAGAAAGGGTGCTTAGTAAGGGAAATGCCAGTTCAAAGTCACAGAAGTGCAGAGCTCTCAGAATTGCAGTTACAGCGCTGCAAGGTCACAGAGGTGGGGAGTAGCCCAGACTGGAGAGGAAGCCAGATCTCGTGCACCCACAGCAGCATGGGACCCAGCTCTGGCTTCCATATTATTTTCCCTAACTGTGCCTGAGGCTGGTGGATGCCAGCCAGGGAAGGCCCCTGATTGGCTGGGGGAACCATCTGCAAATCTTGGTACAGGGAGTGGGGAGTTAGCTCTAGGCAGGCTCTGGGGCTCCTCAGTAGGGGGAGGAGAGTGTGGGGGCACCTCCACTCCCAGGGGTCTGCCTGCCCTGGCCCTCGACCTCAGATTCAGATTCTCCAACTGGATGTCAGTTGATCCAGGTCCCTTGGTCCTTGCCCACCCCTGAGGCAGGTGGTGGCAATCAGTTCCCCTGTGCCATGGCTCAGGAGTCTGGGGTGACATGACAGGGTGGCATGCTGGAGATGCCTAGATGTTGTTGTTCCTTCTGTCTGGTGTGGTGCTGAAGGACACAGACTCGCTGGATCACTTGGTACAACTCTCCATTCTACCTGTGTGACCTGGGCAAGTTACTCCATGTCTCTGTTCCTCCGTCCTCCACCCCTGCCTTGAGCTGTGCAGAGACCAGATGAGTTAATGCATATAAAGCACTCAGTACAGCACTGCAGGGAGGTAGGTGTCCAGTGCTAGCTGCTGGGACGATTTTCCCTCAAAAACGTTTCTACCTTGTTCCTATGTCAGATCTGATTGTATGGCAGGTGGCAGTGACTATATCTGTCCCCCTCATTAGACTGAACCCCTAAAGGATAGGAGTGAGAAAAACTTGTAGCTGCATCAGAGAGACCCTCTCTTTGGCCCTGCCCTCACCCTCCAGTTCTCTGTGTTTGTGGATTGACAAGGAAATGAATTAAAGTTGGGTTTGTGGATCTGCGGGTGTAGCTCAATGGTATAGTGCTTGCCTGGTATTCGAGAGGCCCTGGGTTCCATCCCCAGCTTCACCAAAGGAGAAAATAAAGACCGTTTCCTTCTGCTACCAGGTCTTGGAAAGCCAGGAAGAGGGAGTCAGGCAGAAAGGAGAGTGAGTGGGCACCCAGGGCAGGGCTGCTGTTCGCCTGACTCCCACTCCTCCTCCTTGGGAGCCAGTGCTTCTTGCCCAACCCCATAGGCGGCCTGAGTCTGTCCTGCACCCTGTGGCCTCTGCCTGTTCCCAGAACCCCAGCAAACATCACCTTGTCCTCCTGGGACTCTTGGTCCTGGTGCCTTTTCCTGTCCTGGTCCTGCAACCCTGCACATGGTGCCTGGAAGGAGCAGCCCAGCCCCTGGAGAAAGGCTCTCAGGATTGGGTCATATCTGGATGACAAAGCCTCTTCCCGCTGTGCCCTCTACCTCCCTCAGACCTTGGCCCATTTGCCCAGCTTGTCCCCTCAGAGCTTGTCATCAGACTTACAGAAACATTTAGCCAAGAGGTTGTGAGGAAAATTTCAGGTGGTCACAAGTCTGGCCTCCCTTGAAGAGTTGTTTGAGCTCTGCCTGGGCCTCCCAGGCCACTGTGAGGGAACAGGGCACCCCCTAGCTGGCCCCACGTGTGGCCACAAGGGGAAGGGGGGAACACAGAGCTTAGCTGAGCCCAGGCCCGGAGTGGAGGGGCCCCGAGTGCATGCATCACACATGGGAATAAAGGGTCCTGTGCCACCTAACTCCACCCTTCCCTGTCCAGTGCTGCCCTGGTTGGTCCTCTTGCCCTGTCTGCCAGTCCTGGGCACCTTCAGGACCCTCAGGGTCTGGCTACAGGATGGTCCAAGTGGGAACAGCTCCGGATTAGGACCAGGAGTGTAGCTCACCTAGCACCAAGGAGGCCCTCTGCCTACTGCTTGCTTAACCTGTCTCCTGGTGGCTGCTTTTGGGAGGATTCAAATTATCGGCTCTTGCTCTGCTTTCTTGTCCATGGCCCACAGCTCTTCTTGT